TGATTTGTTACCCAGCAAGGGAAAGGAGGAGGGCTCCACCTTTCCTTATCGGAGCTTTGAATGATTTGAGAGGATATCGCTAATGGATGACTTTTGATCTAGGTAAGATACAGCATCATATCTTAAAGATACTGTGTGATAGAAAATATCATCAAGTCACATATTGGGTCTTATTTAAGGAAGTGTCTCCTCATATAGGCAGTGACTGTTTAAAAGAGAGACATTTCGTATTCCTTGTTTCTATTTTAAATTGTTACTTTGACAGGTCTTTGAAGAGAAGACAATTTTCTATCCTGCAGATTCAGTAACTGCCCTTAAATGTCTGATCTCGTCCCATTTGCTGTGGAAATGGCATTGTGATTTGCTTGTGTGGAAATCTACCAGTCAGTGGATGCTGAATCTAATGACACTGGATTGTCAGGGTACCTTGCAAGTCAGGCAGCAATTAATTATTTGTCATAAAAAAATCTCCCCGTGAGGAAATTACTGTACTGACATTATTTCTTAACACATCTTCTGCATTTTGCACTTGCACAGTCTTTACACATAAAGTAGAGTGACCGTATTTGTACTATTCATAGCAGGAAACAAGAAAATAGCTCGAAGGCCACCCGTGTGTGCTCTGTGACACCCCTGGGCCAGGAGCTTGCAGTGCTATGGAAGCCTCACAAGCCAAGTTGCCCTGAATTCCGGATGTATCATAGGAAGATTCTGTGAGAGGCATGTTAATGCATTATTCTATTCTCTGGAGACACAAGTTAATAAACAACAAATTAATTCAATTATAAAACTGCCCCTCCAAAAACAGAACCAAAACCCTTTTAATTTAGTAATTTGCATTTGGAAGGCATATACAGCATGCCAACTGGAAAATTTTAAATGTGCTCTTGCAATTGTAGGCAAAAGTCCCTGTGTTTGTAGTAAGACATTTTCTACTTGCTTTTCAGCCTGAGTATTCCATCAGCCAGGGCCTGTGTACAAGGTGGCTCCATAGGGAAATTTTAGTATTCCTGTATTATTCTATTGATTGATTTTAACGAATATTTTAACCTCAATGTATAATCAGCATGTAATATTTATGACAAATAAAGGGATAGGTAGATAGATAGATAGACAAATAGTAAGGCAGACTTCTGTATTGCTTTCCCAATATGAAATCTTGGAGAAAAGCCAATGTTTCCACAAAGTTTTAAAATTAGCTACAGATAATCTATACCTTTAAACTATATAGATAAAGGGACAGTGTTAGTAAGGAGGATATTAATGATAATAATAATTATATTTAAAATGTATTAGTGCCTTATTCTATGCCTGGTACTATGTATTTTTCATCTTATTCAATCCTTTCAACAACCCTGTTTGTTGTTTCTGTATATGTGGAGAAATTGCAATGAAACAAAAGTTGAGTTTTTGCTGAAGCTAATGTGGCTAATATGTGCTATGACTGAAGTTAGGAAAAAGAAAACAAGACCAGCTTTACTTTAAAACACTTCTCTTTGATTTGCACATCAGAAAACCCAGGATATTCGAATCTCTCACTCAGCTGCTCTGGCTGCTTATCCCAGCCTCCCCTCCAGCATCCTCCAATCTCCTGCACATACCTGCTTTGAAGGAGCTTTGTCCGCAGCAGACCGTGGACGAGTGAACTTTGAAATGCAATTTGTTTTGTTCCCCTCTTCCTGGACCAGTTATTTTCACCTCTTCTTTTCAGACAGACCATGACACAGTGCCTTTGGTGTCTTAAATTACTTCAAACCATTGCATGATTTGTTGGAAGTAATTATGACTATTCTTCATTCATAAAATGGTCACTGAAGTGGTATACAATAAATTCTATTATAGAGGTATAAACAAATAATATTGATAGAGTTAAACTTCTGTCACTGACACTCCACTTCTCCAGTGCTACCCCACAGTGCACCCACTTCTGAGGATCAGTGGGCCAGATCAGTGGCTCGTCACAACCTTGTTTGAGTACATATTCCTGCTAGGTGAAAAGACCGTAGCTACATTACCAAGGTGTGTATATTTATTGATAAACAGATGAAATAACAATAACAACTTATGGAATGCTTGTCAAGAGCTTTGTAAATATTCACTAAAATGTTACTTCATAGTAGTTTCCATGGTGTATATATTATTGTTATTATCACCATTTAGCAGACCAGGAAATAGACACATGCTATGTTGAATAACTTGCCCAAGGTCACTTAACTAGCAAGTGTTAGCACTAAGTTTGAACAGATGGCCTCACGCTGGAGTCTATGTTCTGATTTACTGTATCACAGCTGCTTCTCTATGTGCTATGCTACTAATATATGATTTATGGAATATATGAAAAATAGAAGTTTAAAAGAATGATGTACATACTGCCAAAATCAAAGTCTTAATACTATTGTCCTCTGCCCTCAATGAGTCACCGGGAAACAACTCTGGGATGATGCAGCCCCTTCAAATACCACCTGGGGAGGTGGTCCTTAGAGGGAACTTCAAATGGCTGCCCTCAGTGACCTCAGTGTCCTTTTCTTTCATTGCCAACTGTGAAGGCAGTGGGGTTCCTAACAGTGGACTCTCTCCTCCAGTTTGCCCATCCATTAGTTCAGGCCACTTCCTTTGCTACCATCCTCAAGAAACAACCGGCTCAACATTCTCTCATGCCACTTTATGGTCCAACCTACATTTACCTGTCTCATTATATCAGGAAACTTCTAAGTAATGGAAATTAATTTGAACATGCAAATGGCTCTCTCGCTTTTCAACTTCAGTCTTTGTTCAAGTGTCATTTTTTGTGAGACCTTCTGTAACCACCCTATTTAAAAATTCTCCCTCCCTCTCTCTCTCTCTCTCACACACACACACACACACTCACACTCACACTCTCACTCTTCTCCTTCCCTGCTTGACTTTTCTCGTCATGCCAGTTCTAATCTTATTTTTCTGTGCCCCCTTCTCCAACTAAAAAATAAACTTCCTGATGGAGGAAATGTCTATCTGATTTACTCACCACTGTATTCCAGGTGCCCATAGCAGCGACTGGCTCACAATAGACTCTAAAACATGTTGATTGAATGAATAAATAAACTATTTATCTGGGCTTAGCCATGCAGGGATTTTAAGCCAATAGATGAAGAAATACAAGGCAACTAGGCTTCCTTACTGAACATGTTCCATGTAGTATGTAGAGGAAAACTGAGCGAGTGTCTAAGTTATTGTTATAGTTATCAATAGGAATTATGCAAATCCAAAATAAATGATACCTTTTGCTCAATAAACCATTTGTTTTCCAGATAATCTTTCAGTTTGCATTAATCATGTAGTCAAAGATCTTACCAAACTGCAAGGAAGCATCAGGGCACAGCACAGGCATGGATATACAGTGTTTTACAATAATTCAGATAAGTGTCAGAAGCAGTCAGGAATGCCATTTTCCCCAATAGGGGCACTATTGATCTATACCTGGTCAAAAATGTCTATACTGGAAGTTTCAGGGATTGCATATGTTTGGAAAGAGATCATGGCCAAAAGGCTTCTTTGAAGTTTCCTTTGTCTAGGAAGTTTCATAAGACTGAGGAAGAAGCAGTTTTCTACCTCAAAATATGGAGGAATTAGGGTGGGTGTTGTGGTACAGTGGGCTAAACCAACTCTTGGAACACCTGCATCCATATTGAAAGGGGGATATAGTCCCACCTCTTCTTCCAATCCAGTGTTCCTGCTAATGTGCACCCTACGAGGCAACTGTCGATGGCTCAACTACTTGAGTCCCTGCCACCCACATGGGAGACAGGGATGGAGTTCCTATCTCCTGGCTTTGGCCTGTCCCAGGCAGGCAAAACTATTGCAGCCATTTGGGCGATGACCCAGCAGATGAAAGATATTTCTCTCTCTCTTGCTGTAACCCATCCTTTCAAATAAAAATAGCTTAATGAATTATATATAAATAATATATATTAATAAATGAGTAAATCATATATAATTCATGTTTATTGCATATAATATACATTATATATAATTTATTCTCTTTTATTTGAAAGGCAGAGTGACAGAGAGGAGACAGGAGCTAATAGAGATTAAAACACCCTTGACCAATGAATGTGACTGAAATTCTGAATACAAATGAAATATGCCATAGAAAAGAATTTTACTTTCAATTAAAACTAGAATGATGTATTTCAGATGCGCTGTAATTATAACTGGTTCTAGGCAGTAATATTTAGAAACTGCTTTTTTGTTGTTGCTGTTGTTCTTTTCACGTAACATTGAAAATACAGAATATGGAAGTTTAGATCACTTACTTTATGAAGGATCACTTGAAAAATACAGATCTTTCTAGGTCATAAGTTCACATGAAGCAGATTTGAGTAAGATTAGCAGGAAACAAGATAATTTATGAGCTGAACGAACAGAAGGGTGCTGAGTCGGATTTTGTTAAACTAATATTATGGCTGGCAAGGATGACATGTCAGATGTTTCATTCATTTTAAAGACCAAATCATTTCAATAAATCATTTTTATAACTTTATTATATAGGTAAAATACCAGTAGGATGTATATAAATGCACCAAACACATCCATTTGCTTCAACTACATCCTTTGTTTTTCATTTCCTTTCCTAAAGATGTATTTATCAGATAATTTTTATGAACTGGTCCCTCTCTTGGTTTTATTCATGTGGTCTTTTTTATTGGTGCTACTATGCTCATTTAATTTTTCCTTACACCTACAGATTTAATCTGTGCAAATATCTCCATAGGTTTCTCTCTAACTTCTTACACAAAAGGCAAAAGGAGTCTCCTGTTTTAAATACCCTTTTTCAATGTCATAAGTGGAGAAATGGATGCACAGTATGCATCTGGAGCTATTTTATTAGCATAAAATCTTCATCCATAATGTCTGTATTGTCTAAAATAATGTGTTGTCTTTCAGAATATTTAACCTTCAATTTCTTTACTGTGTGAACACTCTACTATTTTCTTTTTCCCCTAACTCCCCCTGTTTAACAGCAGACAAACCCAGGGAGCACTGAGTGAATCCGATGATCCTGAGACAGGCTGTCTAACTGACAACAAGCCAACTTCTCGACACTTCTACCCTGTCGCCTTGCTGCTTGTCAGCTCGCACCTGCTAGTTGTGTGGCTCATTTTAAGTCTTGCATTACTATTAGCCAAATACCAATAAGTTTTATGTTGTACTTCTTTCTTTTCTACAAATGAAAATGGACTTTAAATTATGGGGACAATGCTGTAATATTTCTACATTTTCAGGTTCACAGAATTTAAAACAATGTTTGAATTGTAAGTGTCTTTGGTTTTCCTAAAATTTAAGAAACAAAAAGTACTATGCATTAAGTGAATTATTTTGCTCTTTTGTTCATGGAAAAGTGTTTCCCACTGTTCACTTGCTCAATAATTTTTAAATTATTGTCTTTGGAAAAAAGACAAAGAACAGAATCCTGAAAGCTTGAAGTTCTGAACCTCCACTTCTTCTCCCCATGAAATTGATTAAGGAAATTTAGACCGAATTTGCACAACACTCTGAAATCCTGAGACAAGTCCTAGAGATGTGGGAGGTTACAGACTTTATTTTCACTGTGCCAACATCGTAGTTGTCATCAGCTGATAGAAACTTCTGTTTGGTTTTCTAATCTGTTTCATTTCTTTGCTGCAATTAACCTTTTATGTCAAGTAACTTTATGACAAGAATGGCTATTTATGTTTTGTAATTAAATTAACCTGTTTGTAACTATTGTTTGGGTTGATTTGGCTTTCAGAGTACTTTTCTATTCTTTTTAACAAAGTCTTGTTTGTGTCTTGATGCACCACTTTTAGCACCTGTGACTTTTGTACTGTCTGTGGAGAAGCACTCTTCCCTTACAAAACTGAGACTTGGAACAGGCTGTTCGGAAAGCCATTTTCTCTCTTCATTGCACAGCTAAAATAATGAAATAAAATAGAAATGAAACTTTCCTTTAAAAATCTATAGGGCCAGACTTAATCAATTAAATGCCTTATTCCTAGAACCTGCATCCTTAGGGCTACATATAGATTTTAATGTGTTTTAAAGAGAGTGAGAAATTAATTTATGGAAAAGTTATAAAATGGCAGATATATTTATGAAACTGAAGTGAAGCTGTATTGTGGATCAAATTATATTTAAAGAGTTTATTAAACTTTAAATATATGTTAAGAGCAAAGAGACTTTAATCATCTCTTTCCGAAGGCAATAATGGTATTGGGCCTGGCCTAGGATTTAATTTTGTAAGATGTATCATCACTTGTGAAAAAAAAATGTAGAGTTGACTCTTTGTTATTTTTACCTGGACTGTTGACACAACTCTGCATTGAACAAATAAAACATATTTATTTATTCTGTGTTTCATGAAGTTGTGCTTTTTCCCCTTTCACCAGAGAAGGATGCCGCATAGAGAATGTGCTGAAGAATATCAAATGCAGAAAGTATGCTTTCAACATGCTACAGCTGATGGCTTTCCCCAAGTATTACAGACCTCCAGAGGGGACTTACGGAAAAGCTGACACCTAAGTTTACCAACATGTAAATAAACAGGAACGCAAATACGTTTCCATTGGATGATCTCTACGTTGGTCTTTCCAGTTCTTTTATTGTTATGAATTTGGGGGAGGAAATGATACAGATGTTTGCCCAAGTCTAGGAACTACTTGACTAGCTATCAGTGGTTAACTCAAAAATCCATTAAAAATTTTTACAGTTTCTATTTCTAAGCTTCTATGTGTTGACCCTCACTGGTTGAGATGGGTCCATAAAGGGTTCGTTTCATTCATGGACTGAGAACTCTGAGGTTGATTCAACAGGAGTAGGGATGTTTCAGAGAGGGGTATGCTGCACCTAAAATGAAGAGTTGATGGTAAGAAGGAGAGAGGCATTCTGTAGTACTACTTCTTAGTCTTTCTCATAGATAAACTTATAGCCCAGATTAGGGACTTTTAAAATTTTTTCTAGCAAATTGAAATTTGGTCACATTAACTCATGATATAACTGAAGTAGTTTGCAGGTATTCTTGGGAAGACTTGCCATCCAGACCAGATGCGATGCCTTCCCCTGAATAGGTATAAGTACAGTGTTAGTAAAGTAGCAAACATCAGAGAGTTTAGCAATATAACAAACCACTGCAAGAAACTGAAATTGCAAAGAAATTAAAGATGAACAACGTGTTGCTGCCCAAAGTAAAAACTTCCATCAGTCCAAACTCTGTGTAGGGAAGTTTATGAAAGTCATCTTGTTTGCTAGCAATTACCTTGATATAACTATGCAGTCCAGCACAGTTTAGTATACGTGAATAAACATTTATAAGACAAAAGCAGCCATCATTAATGAGAAACAAACATCATCTACTAGCCTGTATTTCAAAAATGTCCAGCTCATTAAAATAATAATGGATTTACGGGAACATGGACTTGAGCAGTTCAGTAAAAGTGCATACCTGAAACCACCATTCTTAAAAAAAAAGTTTTTCAAAACTCCTATTAGAAGTTTCCTTGGAGATCATCTTGCATGACACTGTGATTTGGTAAGTGGGTAAATAAAGGCCATCTTTAGCTAGATACTTGCAGAATCATGATTGAAATTTCTTCCTACTTCCTTACACACTTCCACTTCCGAGGCCGTGGCTCGTTCCTCCTCCAATCTGCTATGCAAAATATGTGTGACAATTGAGGGAACATACTAGTTTGTTAAAGAAAAATTTGGATTTATCACCGGACTTGAAGTTTACAGTACAAAACCCATTTTCTTCAAATGTTAAGAATTTATTTTTCCTTTGTCATCAGTGGTGTGTGATATACAGAGCATAAATCACCCTTGGAAATGCTAGAAGTTTATTCTGTAGACTTCTGTTAGCTGTGACCACATTCAGTGGATGGTTGATAGTACTTTGTGTAGCTGAAGTGGTATCTCTTTTTTAAAGATACCTCTTGAAATAAGGATTGCAAACGGATCTCTAGTCCCTTGTTGAGTCTTTTGAATCATTACAAATTTTAACTAAGCTTTTAGGGCTTTTCATACTAGAATTCTCAATTTATCATTATATCTAATGACCTATGGGCATTATTGAGGCAATAGTCAGACCACTGCCTTTACAATGAAAAGGTGCTGTGTACTCTGAATCTATTCATGAACAAAATTATCTGGATGCTCCCTGTTATGCTTCTTTCTCCATTTTAGTGATTAAATATAATCTATGATTTTTTTCAATTTCACTTGAAATTGTTGGACTTGTGCTTATTTCCATTATCATATTGAATTTAAAAAAAGATTGGGATAACAGAGGTCTTCCTGAATAGCTATTAAGCCTCAGTTAGTGTGTCAATTGGTGGTCTGAGTGCCAAGAAACCTTATGTGACTTAGCATTCTGTAAATGCTCTCAAACAATAATTTTTGTTTATATTTTAAAAAATGAAATCTCTTGAGGCAAATGTGGAGAAAATATTTTAACTATATAGACAACAATAGGGTTTTCTAATTTTAGAGCCATTTCAGAGACTTTTTTCCTTTTAAATAAATAGGAAAATAGAAATCTGAAAAGGTAAAGCTCATTGTAATGCAAATCCATATGCATTTTCATTATTAGCATAGTCTTGGGCATTTCATTATAAAAGCCTATAATTTTGCATATTTCTAAAACTGGATTTCACCAAGAGAATTGATGTTTCATATAAAATATTGCTAATTTACTGAGAGATAACCTAAGTACCCTTTGCACAACTACTTCTGTATTTCTTAAGTTATTTAGACATTCTAAATCAAAGAGCAATGTTAAACAAAGACAAAAACTTAAGTCTCCATGTTAGAGATAGCAGCAGTTGCACTTGCTATCTGCATTTTCATTTTAAAGATACCCAGCTTAGTTTAGGAGATCATATTGAGCAAAAAAAAAATGAACCAAGAAAATGACATTTCCAAACATTTTTTCTCATAAATATTCCTTTTTTCTTATTCCATTTTTCTCATAAAATTCCTCTCTAATATATTCAAAGGTAGATATCAGCTTTGAATTATTCCTGGAACCCAAGGAAAATATATTTAAATATAAGAAAAGGTGGAATTCTGATTATAGTTGAACCAATGACAAAAGATCTGCCATCTGCAAATATTGCCCAGAACAGTCAACCACAAGTGTTTGAAATATTTGACTGAAACACATTCATTCTTAGAGGCACCCATTTATTTACTTCTCATGTGGCTGTTTGTTTTTCTTGTATTGCACTGAGTTTTGTCTACACTCTGTGAAAACCACCCACTGATGGAAATAATTTGGTCAGTCTCATAAGCCAATGTGTCAGAGCATCCATTTGATCCAGGCAATAAATTTCATTAAAATGACTAACACCATGGCCAGCACCGCTGTGGCTCACTTTGCTAATCCTCTGCCTGAGGCGCCGGCACCCTGGTTCTAGTCCTGGTTGGGGCACCGAGTACTAGTCCCGGTTGCTCCTCTTCCAGTCCAGCTCTCTGCCCAGAAGTGCAGTGGAGGATGGCCCAAGTGCTTGGGTCCCTGCACCCACATGGGAAACGGGAGAAGTACCCAGCTCCTGGCTTGGCATCAGCACAGCGCCGGCTGTAGCGGCCATTAGGAGAGTGAAGCAACGGAAAAAGGAAGACCTTTCTCTCTCTCTCTCTCTCTCTCTCTCTCTCTCTCTCTCTCTCTCTCTCACTGTTTAACTCTGCCTGGCAAAAAATAAAAATAAGAAAAAAAAATGACTAACACCTGGTTAGGACACTATTCCACATCACTCAGCTCCACCCTCACTTTATATAACTAACCCTTCTAAGAAACAGTGATGTGGGCCCGGCTCAGTGGCTCATTTGGTTAATCCTCCACCTGTGGCGCCGGCATCCCATATGGGCGCTGGGTTCTAGTCCTGATTGCTCCTCTTCCAGTCCAGCTCTCTGCTGTGGCCCGGGAGGGCACTGGAAGGTAGCCCAAGTGCTTGGGCCCCTGCACCTGCATGGGAGACCAGGAAGAAGCACCTGGCTCCTGGCTTCGGATCGGTGTAGCTCCAGCCGTGGTGGCCACTGGAGAGCGAACCAACGGAAGGAAGACCTTTCTCTCTGTATCTCTCTCTCTCTCACTGTCTGTAACTCTACCTATCAAATAAATTTAAATATATATACATATATAAAAGAAACAGTGGTGCTTTATAAACTAGCAGTTGGATGGAGGATACTTCCTCTTCCCCTGAGGTATGACATTTTACAGAAAGACTCAGAGTGGAAAGGGGAAAAACTCACTGAAGCCAGTAATGCTTTTCTTACTAAGCAAACCAAGCCACTCCCCAAGAATAGGTTAATACCGTCACAAGAAAGATGATAGGAATGGTGTTCTTGAACCGACTTTTGCTGATTCATGAAAGTTAATCATTAAATTTCAAGATTTTTTTTTAGTCTGTTTGTTTAACCACTCCAATATATGGAATTATGAAATGCAATTGAGAACATTTTATTAAAAACAAAGGTAATAATCAAAACTTACAACATCCTACTTACTTGACTAGGTTTTCTTAATTCTCTGTGCTTTTGAGGTGTTTTAGATTTCTGTGGAAATCATTTATAATAGGGTGCTACTAAGCACCTCTTCCTGACTGTTCAGAGCATCACACTGCTAGCTTGAAATTAGCCACACTGGGAAGGTGGACACCGCAGAAACAGGCACACACTGCAAATCAAGATTTAATTTCTAGAAGGTCAATTGAAAAACATTTATCAGCACAAAATTGAATGCCATCACTTCGCCAGAAAATAACATTATTGGAAGCAATACAACATTATTAAAATGTATTAAATAAAATTAGTCATCTTCAGATAGCTATAATTTTTTCAACTTTTACTCTCTTCAAAGACTCCCATTAGGCTATAGGTCATACTTTATGTTATTTTATTTATAATTATATTACTAAATTGTAGGGATGGATTTGGAAACTTATCTCTTGATGTTCTGCTAAGAAGTCTTCATACTGCAGCTTTAGTGTAAGCAAAGACTCAGGGATAAACTCCAGGAGATGGTAACCTAATCAGATCACCACTGAAGTGTGTTTCAGTGTTTGAACTCATAATTTTGGTATTTGGTAAAAATATCAAAAACAGTAGCATATTACCATACCAAGATCCTAATAAATATAGCTCAACTCATACCCAAACTGTTAGATTAAACAAATTAAACTCTGGCAGTATGTTAAATCAGCACAGATGTTTTAGGTGTTAAATTTCCAAGCAGGATTGTATGTCATTTTATTTCAATATGCAGGGTATCTTTTGTGATCTTTTAGGAAAAAAATTAAATCTTATCAAAGATCTAAAAAACGGAGACACCGTA